GCTGCCCATCCCAGCCCTCAGGAATATCCACACTCACCAGTGTCCACTGAACAGCCCCAGAAAGGCTACCACAACCCTGGGTTCAAATTCCACTCTGCCTTTCTTAGTAATGGGCTTTGAGCAAATCGGATCTCTCCTTTCTGGGGCTAGTGGGTAGTTCCTATTTTATAAGAGTGGGCAGGAATCAAATGGCATTGTAGAACTCAGCATCTGCCACCCAGAAAGGTTCCAGAGTGGAAAGAATTAAGTCAGGCAAACAAAATGCAGGAGAGTCCTCCACATGGCAGAGGAAAACCAGAGGCCCAGGACAGACGTCAGAAGAAGGACTTAGTTCAGAGCTGAGGCATAGAGGGTTTGAGCAAACCAGGCAGTAAAAACAAACAAACAAACCAGAGTAGGGACTGGATACAGATTGTCCAGAGGAAAGCTCAGAACAACTTGGGGGTTGAAGACCGAGGAGAAGGCTGCTGTCCTAACATAGAAAGTCTCAGAGGATCAAGGCCCCAAGAAAGCAGAGTCAGGTGGCAGATGGATGGGGTATGACTGTGTCCCCTATGCCTCCCCACAAAAGAACAGAAGCAGTTATCACTGTACCCCGTACCCAGGGGAGCCCCTTAGTGTGCCTCTTAGGATCCCCAAGATCATTTCTAAGACTGAATGCTGGGTGCCCAGTATATGTTTGGGGGATAGACTAGGATCGGGTTCCTTCACCATACTAGGGGGCGGGTATATCGTGACTAGTAAGACTAGTAAGGACAGGGTGCTGGTGGTAATGGGTCCCAGCCATCAAAAGGGAGCAGGCTCTAGCTATAGACACAGGGAGCCTCACCCGAGTGAGGTCTGGACCAATTAGGAAGAAAAGGGAGGTAGCAATAATTAAAAATTAAAAGCCAACACGACAGCAGTTTAAAAATGGAAAGAACGAGTAAAAACAATTAGCAGAGATGAGGCAACAGGGCAAGCGCGATACAAATGGAGCCAATCACAGAGCACTAATGACATCGGGAAACCTAATTTTTACAGTGTCAGGCTTGTGTGATTGAAGTACCAGGCCTACTTCTCTGAAACAAGCTGCGTGCTTGTCTGAGCAGGGTAGGACTTTGTCTCCTCCATGCAACCCCGAGAGACCTGAGTGAAGAGGTCGCGGGGCAGAGAGGGGTGGCTGGCGGTAGGGGCGGGGAGGCGCGAGGTCCAGTAATGGCGCGAAGGGGCAGAGGTGATAGGCCGGGAAACTGAGCAAGGGCCAAAGTGGGGAAGACATACCCCCCCTTCAGTGTCCCTATCAACGACGGCAGTAGTGGTGGTGTCACAGTCCTACGCACTTGGTTGCCGCGGAGACCAGGCGACCCTCCTGGCAGAGGGAGGCTGAGTCAGTTTGAGTAATGGCGGAGAACGCTGCCGCTGATGGGGAAAAATACATCTTCATAACAGGGTGAACCTTTTGGAAAATGGAATAAGTAAAATAATTGAGAGAAAGAAAATTGAGTTTTTATTGCTTTTTAAGTGTTTAAGTGGAGGTTTCATTTAGGGAAATTATTGTTGCTTTTATTTTTAGCCACTCAGTGGGGTGGGGAGGGGTTGGTTTAGGGTGGGGCTCCTGTTTCCCGCCCCTCCTCTTGGTAGCCATACGGTACCCCCATTTCAGAGAAGGGAGGAGAACCTTAGCTGAGTCTGCAACCATGATAAACCTATGCAGATGCCACCGTGTCTTCAGGATCCTCAGCTGACTCCCATGCTCTCACTGGTCAGTCCCCTTACTCAGCCCCACACCTTGACAGCTCTTGCTACCTTCTCGAAGGATCTTTGCTGCCTGTCTGGGATGAGCCCCATCTGACCCTGAGCTGCCTCAAGTCCCTGAACCACTTGGCTTTCCGCATTTCCTGCCTCCTCCTACCTGCTCCAGAGTCTCCTTTCCTTGCCTTGCACAGAGGTCAGAGAGGAGCTCAGTACTTCTGGATGGGCTTTCTTTCTTCCCTGGGTTGTGGGGGAATGGGGGTGGTCTCCAGGCCAAGTACCTGATGTCTAAGAGGGCTGACTGAGCTCCACAGCGCCTCCTGCCGACCTGGGGTCTGCAGGCTCACCTACACTTGCATCCCCATTCTCTGTTGCTTGACTTTGTTCTTTCTGCACCCCCAGAAATGGCTCCGGTGAAGGCCCCCGAAGACCACGCTTGGGAGGTCGCACATTGGACAAGGTTCACCCCTCCAGACTCCAAAGTCCCTTGTGCAGCATTTGGCATCACTCGGAGGCATTTACGGATCCATTCTTGTATTCCCTTCCCTTATCTGAGGCTAACTCCACCAACCCTCCCCCTCCCCCCAGAATCAACCATATTTCTTCCTGAGTCCCATATGGAGCCATACTAATGGACCTCTGAACCATTAGCTGTCCCTGCCCATACCCCATCTTACCCAACTCCCTTGCTCAGCTTAACCCCAATCCCTTCACTCCACAGACCTCTCGCGAGTCTTCAGAGCCCCAGTTCCCGGCCTCTGCAGCTTCTTTCTTCAGAAGCCTCAGGTTCAGTCAACACACGTGCCCTTGCCTTTCCCATCCTCTCTGCTCAGCCTGACCAAGCCTGTAGTGCAATTCACACCTCACACCCTCACTCAAGTTACTTCAGTCAAAAGTGAAATATACTAGCTGGGCAGTGGTGGTGCATGCCTTTAGTCCCAGCAGGCGGATCCCTGTGAGTTCGAGGCCAGCCTGGTCTACAGAATGAGTCAGGACAGACTCCAAAGCTTATGGAGAAACCTATGTGTTTCAAAAAAACAAAACAAAAAAACAAAAACAAAAGAAGTGAAATAAACAACTGGGAAAAAGCTAGACCAGATTTATGCATTTCGGGCATGGTTGGATACAGGTGTTCAAATACACTCACTCAATCTTTTACTTTTTTTTTTTTTTTTCCAAGACGGGTTTTGCTGTAGCTTTGGAGCCTGTCCTAGAACTAGCTCTTGTAGACCAGGCTGGTCTCGAACTCAAAGAGATTCACCAAGAGCTGGGATTAAAGGCATGCACCACTGCCGGACTTTTTTATTTCTTTGTGTGTGTGTGTGTGTGTGTGTGCACATATGCATTGTGTGATAGCCACAGATGTGTGTGTGTGTGTGTGTGTGTGTGTGTGTGTGTGTGTGTGCGCGAGCGCGCCATGGGCTTCCTCAGATTCCCCTGGAGCTGAAGTTACAGAAAGCTGTGAGCTGCCCAATGCAGGTCCTGTATGTCTCCTTAACCACTGAGCCATCTCTCCAACCTGTGGCTGGGGGTCGGGGGGAAAGCTTTGTTTTTGTTTGTTTGAGATAGGTTTTGTTGTGTGGTCCAAGCTATCCTCACTTGCGAACCTCCTTCCTCACCCTCTCTGAGGCTGAGATTACAGACATTCTTTATTACTTTCAGCTAGCTTCTTTGTTAATACATTTACTAGAATGTGACCTTCATGGCACCCTTGCCTGTGACCTCACTCTCAGACAAGGGTCCTGATACACACATTGCTTTTCCAGCCCCTGAGCTCTGTCTCCATTCTCCCTGTGGGGTGCTTCCCTGGATGTTCCTAAACACACAGAAACCAGCAGGCCTCTGACCCAGCAGTTCAAGGTCTGTTCTCAGGCATGCCACCTTCCCCACCCACCCATTACATTCTGAGCCATGCATCTCCTGCAGACAGTGGGTTTTAACACTCTAGACTGGATGGGCTCCTTCCCAGCCTTCCCCTACAAAAACCACTCCTGGCTCCTTATTGCTCTTAGTACTAGCCCAACAGCACCCTGCCCCGCCCCATGCTGACTGCACCATCTCTTACCACAGGCCCTGATCTTGGCCTCGCCACAGGCAGGGCTATCTCTGCAGGGTGTTCTCATCCGCCCTGTACTGTGGCTCTGCTGTCCCCAATGCCTGAGTGGCCTCTTTCTCCAAACTCTCCTCTGGCTAATTCTCTTATTCTTCAAGCTTTGAGCTCAGAGATCACTAACTGTAGTGGGGAATATCCTGTGGTCCCTTTGCCTGGCATGGCTCCCTGTCCTCCACTGCTGTGGAAGACTTGTCTGTGTGAAGCCATGCCCTCTGAAGGGCAGCCATGACTCCTCATGCCATCTGACTGTGCACAGCTCAGAGCCTAATGCTCAGTGCATGGTCTTACAGTGGGTGATGACTTTCCAGTGATGGGGCCAGCAAGTCCTCTCGTGTGCATCATGGCGCACGACCAATCAAAAAGACCTCCCAGGACTCCCCTTCTCCCACAGAGCAAACAGGGCACACTCAGACACATTAATAGAGCCAATAGTGAGCTATTCTAGAAGGAAGCTGGGTACTATGTCTGTATCTCATTTTGCCTCCTATAATAGCAGGGGCCTCAGCAAGTTGAGAAGCTGGAGCCCCTCCTCCTGCTGGCTACGTCCTTCCTGCTCTGTCCACACCCAGTCCCACCCTAGTCCCGTGGTCACAGTGCCTTTCCTCTATGGAGGGTTTCTGTAGTGTAGCATCTTGGTCAATCACCCTTTTCCACACACCCTCACCCCCTCACCCATTTCATTCCTCACCCCCCTCACCCCCTGCTGAGGGTTCCCTGCTTCATTCAGGCTCAGTTCCTCACACACAGGTCTCCATAGTACACAGTGCAGCTGCTTTCTTCCTCCAAGAAGCTAAGTTGACTCAATCTGCTGTGTCATTACCCTATGTGTGCATTGCCCACACAGCCTGTTAGCAGAGGCGGGTAAGGCCGTGGGCAGAAAGGCAGCTGGGGTACCTTAGTATCTCGGTGAGTCCTTACCTGTTCGTGCAGGAGTGCCGCAGAGCAGGCAGGTTTCTCACAGTGGGCAGAAGTGTGTGCACATCCACCCGCACACGCACCCAGCCACCCCCTCCCCACCCCCACGCTCCTTGTGTTTCCACATGTTTAGTATTTGCACAGCCATATTCCACATAGTTAACCACGCATGCACATGCGCGCGCACACACACTATCTCCCACAGAGCCCCACCCACATCCATACCTGCTGATGTGCCTCCAGCTGCAGCTAGCAGCTATTATTAGCCATCACCGTCCTAGGCCTGGCGTTAGAGCCCTCTCTAATGAAATCTCAACAGACTGCTCCAGCCACTCTCCTTGAGGAATCCCTTGACACACGGGACATGGAACAGCTGAAGGATGGGGCTGGAGGTCAGGAGCTGGGCAGCTGAAGGACTGACCAGAGACAGGAGGGTCTCCATTCCTGCCCATCAGACTGTCTGTATGGCTGGGGGAATATATGCTGGCTGCTTTAGGGAAGTTCTCAGAGTTTCTGTCTTTAGCATCTTCTCTCTGAGCCTGAGAAGGTATAAGTAGCAAAAGGCTTCCCACCCTGAACTAGATGGTACCTGGATTCTGGCTCGCCCTGGGCTAATCTTGGGCACCAGAGAAGGAGAGTGTGGAGAGAAGAAGGCAGGACTCAGAGGAAAGCGGCCCCTTCCCGAGGAACTACTGGCCACTGGAGCCCCATTGCTGTCCTTGCCTCTTCCCACAACACTTTCAACTATCCTAACCTGCTCTCCCACCCCACACTGTCCTCTCCTTAGAGATCAGGAGGCAGCTCCTCAGGACATCCCTGCTCCTCACAGAGGCCTGAAGCTCCCTCTCCAGTGTCCTCTGGTTGTTTCTGCAAGGTCAGGGGTGTCTCTGAGGCCACCTTTTTGGAGCGGGGACTCGTTGTTAGTTGTTAATTGTTTACCACTAATGGATTCACTGAGCAGCTGTAGCTCTGCAGTCTTGTCTCCTGTGGACTTTTCAACGCCAGGCCACTGCCAAGGCCCTCACACGCTCTGTGGCAGTGACACACCCAGGAAGGGAAGTAAGACTCTGAGAGTTGAAGATGACTTGCTGGGAATCGCAGAGGCAGGAACTGACCTTGAGCTAGGTCACCAGTTGGGCTGGCCTGATACCCCACTCCACATAGATGGAAGGTTAAGGGAAAACAGCGGCAGGGTGGCCTCAAGCAGAGCCACACATAGAGCCCTCTGGGTGTGGGATGCATGACACTCAAACATGCTGTTGTCAGGGCTCAGAAAAAAATGACATACCCATATATGGCACCTTGGAGGTCATTCTGACCTTCTAGGGCATACTTCCTTCTGTTGCCTTCTCTCTGCTCCAGAAGGGGTCAGAAGCCAATTTTCTGTTTTCCCAATGCTAGTCACAAAGCTTGGAGAGGCTACTCTGCTCGACTCCCTTTTCCCTTAAAGACGGGTGCCTTAAAAACAGGTGTCTTGCTCCTTAATCGGAAGGGGTGAGAAGAAAGGACGCCTCACACCTCACACGGGACACAGAAAGGCAGCACCACGGCCGAATTTATTACCCTGATACCACACCCTTTCTCTCTATTTGTATTTCTCCACAGCTCTGCACACACACAAAAAATATACAAATAAAAATTAGCATAGAAATTCTGTCTTTCCTAGTCCTTGAGCCCTTCCTGAGATTCCCATGGCATGTGGCATGTAGTACTGGCTAAAGAAGGTCCGGCTTTACTCCTGCTAATCCAGCTTTTGTCAGAGGGACTTGGGCTACAACCCTTGCGAGAGGTAAAGCAATCATAGGACGTTTTCTTTCTTCCCTATTCTTTCTGGAGCTGCGTGACAAGGCTCCTGCCAGATTTCCTGAAGATTACGTTCTGTGGGGTGGGATCCAAGCCCTTTCTAGGGCAGGCAGCTCACATTTGCAGCGGGTAAGTGTGCCCCCACCCTTGCCTCTCTTATCTCCATAAAAAAACAGCCCCAGGCCCTCTCTTTGTCGGGTGTCATTAGCCGCTCTTCCCTCACTTGGCCAGATTAGATTGGGGTTTATTAAGGAAGTGGCCCAGGGGTCTTTGTCAGCTGGTGCTGGTGCTGTAAGACTGACCTTGGAGTGAGTGTGGTGGCTGCTGGCCACTGTCCCTCAATTCTCCTCCCTAAGAGGTGTGTGTGTGTGTGTGGGGGGGTGAATGAAGGAATGAAGAAAAAAGGAGGAGGGGAAAGGGAGGGGAAGACAGGAAGGAGGGGGAGACTGCAGGAGGGAGGGGAGGAGAAGGGAAGGAGGAGGAAGGTGAAGGGAGGAGAGGGGGAGAGGAAAGGGGAGGACACAACTGCCTGACCTGCAGGGGCTGGAGGGAGGGGGAGCCTGGGCCGCAGGGGAGTCAACCGTGGCTGCAGGAGACAGATAAGGTTGGGGAGAAAGACTCATAGTCACACAGTAGCTGATGGGAGCGTGGGGATTAGGGGCTCCAAGGGCTTGTCTTGCGAGTGGAAACCCAGGAAGATGAAGGCTGGAGGAAAGAAGAGAAAGCCCCTATTTAAGGGAACCCTCTGCCCTTGGGATGAATAAGAAAGCCCCCCCCCCCCTCGCTCCACCGGCTATGCCACCAGCCCCATCCTTGCAGCCTAGCAGACTAGAAGCAGGGACTATCTATTCAGGCCCAGGTGACTAGACCCAGTCAGGTTTCAGAGAAATAGGGTAGTGTGGAAGATTCTCTGCATGCAGGGAGCCTCCCAACCAAAGACAAGCAGTAGCTGTGGCCAGCCTGACCCCTGGCAGGCATGACAACCCATTCTAGTCATGGTAGCTGTCCCTGCCCCAGTGGGTTTTAGCTACCCTTGCATCGTTGTATAGCTATGTACTACAGCCCCCTCATAGAACGTCATTGATTCCTACACTCAACCTGGTGCTGTGGCTCTTATCCGCAGTAGATAAAGATGAGCCCCAGTCAGCTGGAGTTGGGCTGGGTGCTGGGTGAGGGAAAACCCCATGTTGCCTAATGGTATTCTTAGGATTAAATTCTGAAGGCTACCACCCCCTCACTCTCCAGGACAGGAGGTCCATGGACCCTGAGCTTTGGATGTGGTAAGCCTAGCCTGAGGCTCCCAGAGCTTGCCTTGCTCAGGGTACTGTGCACAGAAAACCATCTTGACCAGTGTTAGCATAATTCTGTGTGGATGGGGTGGGACAGGCCTCATTCTCTAAGCATGCCCAATACCACCATCATGGCGGTAGGCAGGTAATGCTAAGATATTAGAAGCTGGGGCTCCTGAGACTTAGTGGATGGAGTCTTTCCTCTAGGTCCCTCAGAACTAAGCAAGGTGCCCAACTGCTGTAGTGTCTTCCTTGAGGGAGTCCAGCCGATGAGTTGAGCGATCAGAGAGGACCAGCTGCCTCAGCTCCAAAGTGAGGAGACAGGACCTGTTGGCTGAGAGTCTGGCTCCTGCGAGCAGCTGATGGAGATAAATGGCTCCTGTCCAAGGCTGGGGTCAGGGCTGGGTAAGGTAGTATTGGGCCTGATGGATGACTCAGGGCTGGGCCAGGAAGAAAAGGAGGTCTCCCGTAGCAGATCTGCTCAGACAGGAGGGACCCGCTGCCCTCAGCTTTAGGGTGAGAGCTAAGCTGTTGCAAAATCCTGGTCATTAATCCACTCTCAGGTCTGCCCCTGTTGTACTTCCTGCCTGCTATGAACCGTCTGTATTGGAGAGGTAAGGTCACCCATGTCCCCTTGCCTGGTCACCTGCATGCCCCTCCCACCACACTGTCCTGGCTGTTTCTCTAAGAAGCTTCTGGACCTTTGTCTTTGCCATCAACAACCTAGCCTGCAATACCCCTTTGCAATGTCCCCTGGGGTTAGCTTTTGACATCCAGGTCTCCTACCCTTCCCTCCTTGGTATCATCCACACAGGCCTTGCTTGTTTCCTTTCAGAGCCTCAAAATAACTTATTTTATTTTACTTAGTTCATCAGCTTATCAGCTGTTTCCACCAGGAATTGGGGATCCCCAAAGAGAAGCAAGTCCCTCATCAAGCCCTCCCTAAAATGTGAGGTCCTAGCTACCTTCCTCATCAGGTCCCTAGGGCAGTCAAGACAGGGCAAAGCAGGCTCAACTCATGGAGCAGTGGTGAGAGGGTTGTGGTTCATCTCCAAGGAACTCTGAAAGGCTTATATGGCTTTGGGGTGCAGGCTGTAGGAGGGGCCGTCTATATGATCGGGACTATAAGGGTACTGTAGAGCAGAAAGTACATTCTTGGAACCCCGCCTGGGCTAGACCCCGTGACCAGAGCCTAGAAGGGATGTTGACATAAAGTCAGGGCATCTCCGCCCCCAACATGACGGTGACAAATGAGAGGTGTCTGGATCTTTGACAAATGACAAGAAGCCTAGTGCAGCCCGAGTGATGCAGGACTTTGGGAGGTGGCCAAGGTGAGGTGTGTGGGACATGACGGGATGTGAGAATCCATAAACCCTTTAAAACACTGTCCTTGATGGAGGGGGGCAGTCTGGAAGGTATATGATGGTGAAGTCCAGGGTCTGGCTCAGCCTCGACCATGGAGGGGCCACATGAGAGCTCGCAGCATCACCCCGGTGCTGATCCTGGTAGGGACTGGCAGGCAGCAATGGAGAGGCTTCACCCACGACTCCTGGCTCCTACTCCCATCTGCCCTGCCCTCTTCTCTCTCCTTCCACCCTCCTAACCTCCTTCAGCTCCAGGAAAGGTCCTTTGTGGTTCACTGAGGGTATCAGCAGGCCTGGTAGATGCCGTGTCTCACGTAGCCAAGCTGCAGCTCCTCCGGCCCAACTTCTTTTTAGACCTTTTGCTTTAGAGTATAGGCTCATCCTTCTTCAATTCTGTCTGGTCCAGACCCACCAGAGAAACCTCAGATCTCTTTGGAGGTCAAGTCCACAGGGATCAGGCAAAACAGCCTACGAATTTCACTGCTGCCACCTGGTGGTTGAAGGAGAGTATATATAATGCTGTTGAAATTCCAGGAAATAAGGTGGGTGAAGAAAATAGCATAGAATTGAGGCAAAGATATGGGGGCAGAGGTGGGGTTGGGGGTGCCTCTTCCAGGCCACTATCCTGGGCCTTCACTTTTCTTGGTCTAAGTTTCAGAACCTTGCAGAAAGTTATAATAAATGACTTGACTAGGATCAGGGGCAGCCTGTCCTGCCTACACTCTATAGAGCTCCAATGACACCAAGAGCCACATTCTACCAGTCCTGGTGACAGAGAAGAATGGCAAGAATGGGAACGAGAAGAGAAGAGGCAGAAAGAGCCACTGGGGCCCGGTAGTGGTGGCGCATGCCTTTAAACCCAGCTCTCAGGAGGCAGAGGCAGGCGGATCTTTGTGAGTTCGAGTCCAGCCTGGCTTACAAGAGCTAGTTCCAGGACACCTAGGACTATTACACAGAGAAGCCCCGTCTTGAAGAAAAAAAGCCACTGGAAAGTGGGTGCAGCCCAGTCAGGCCCTTCCTCTATTATCCCATCGTTGTCACAGCTGGTGTGAGTCTCACAGGCTCTGTTCAGCACTTGACTGTCACCCAGTGGTATCATAGTTGTATTGTGCACAGTTGCGTTCCTGGTTTTGTGACCAGGGACCTGATAAGGGCAACTTAAGAAGAGTTCTTTTTGGCTCACAGGTTTAAAAGTAATGTGGTCCGTCACGACGGGGAGGCATGGTGGCAGGAGCGTGAGGGGGCCGGTCACATTATATTTGCAGCCAGGAGGCAGATGAATGTCATTATTCTCCTTGCTTTCTTCTCTACACTCAGTTCAGGACCCCAGACCATAGAGGGGTATCCCCTGTATTCGGATGGGTCTTCTAATGGCAGCTGATCATCCTCATGGGTACTCCAGAGACTTGCCTCTCAGGGGATTCTATATCTCGCCTAGCTGTCAATCAAGATGAGCTACCATGCACTGGGGAGGTAGCTCAGTCTGTAAGGTACCCTACACACAAGCACTGGAACCCACATTCAGATCCCCAGTGTGCACGTAAAAGCCAGGTATCGTGAAGTGTCTGTAACCCTGGGCAGGGAATGTGAAGATAGAGTGATTCCTGGAACTCATTGGCCAGCCAGCCTAGTGAATCAATAAGCTCAAGGTTTAATGACAGATCCTAGATAAAGAAAGAAGTGCTAGAGAGTCCATCATGGCAGGGAGCATGACAGCAAGAAGGTAGACTTGGTAGTTAAGAGTTTTTTTTAATATTTATTTATTTGTTTATCATGCATACAGTATTCTTTCTGCAGTCCAGAAGAGGGTGCCAGGTCTCATTACAGATGGTTGTGAGCCACCATGTGGTTGCTGGGAATTGAACTCAGGACCTTTGGAAGAGCAGGCAATGCTCTTAACCGCTGAGCCATCTCTCCAGCCTGGTAGTTAAGAGTTTTACATCTGGACCCGAAGGCAACAGGAAGAGGGAGTGCCTCTGAGCCTGGCTTGGGTGCTTGAAAAACTCAAAGCCCATCCCCAGTAACACACTTCCTCCAACAAGGTCACACCTACACCAACAAGGCCACATCTCCTAATCTGTCTCAAGCAATGCCACTACATAACGACCAAGCATTCAAATATATGAATCTGGGGAGCCATTTGTATTCAAACCATCACAGAGTTCTTCCATTCTGGTCTTTCCAGACTTACTCTTAGTCCCGCTGCAGCCTCTCCTGGAAACCCCTCCTCCCACCCTGCCTCCATTCCCTGGAAACTCAACCTTTTGATGCAGATCTAGGATCCCCCATGATCTTTTCCAAGGATGTTTTTAGCCTCCATTTTGCCCATCTCCATTCTTCTGTGTCAGCTGACTAGCAGGAAAGCTCCATCAGGGCCCCCCAGTGCCCATACTGAGCTGAGAGGCAGATAGATGGCTCACTCAGTCCTCATCAGAGAAGCCTCCTCTTGCAGTAGATGGGAACTGACACAGAGACCACAACTGGACAGTGTGCAGAGCGAGAGACTTTGGAGAACTCAGTCCTGAATGGGAAGTCTTCATCAAAGCCTTCCCCTGGAGGATCAGGGATCTATGTGGAAGAGGAGGCAGAAAGACTGGAAGAGCCAGGTGACTAATAGCCATCTATTACCTCTAGGTGACTCCAAGGGAACAATATCTAAGGCATAGCATGACTGATGTGCATACAAACTCACAGCACACGCAGGACTCGCTCAGGATCAAGCTGGATGTGCTCAGCTCTGAGAGAGAGACGTGGACATTGGGTCCCATCCCTAATCAAGAAGCTGTCTGCAACTGATGCCCCAATTGGCAAGGACAAAATCCGTTTTCTCCACTGAGTGTCACTGGCTATATCAACCGCACTCAGGGGCAGGCCCTGTGCCCAGAAGTAGTTGGCCAACACAAAATGAACTCAGTGCTATTTTTGTGGACCTTTGGCTTTGTTTGATTTTTTTTTGTCTTTTTCTTCTTTGTTTTGGTTTTCATTTTTATGAGTTTTTTATGTTGGTTTTGTTTGTTTTAGAGAGACAACATGAAGTTGGGTGAGTAAGGAGGTGGGAGGACCTGGGGGGAGTTGGAGGAAAGGATAACATAACCAAAATATATTGTAGGTACCCAGGTCCTTCCCCCTTTTCTTCGTGGCGATTTGCAGGGCTGTTTGACCTCTGGCTCCCTGGCCTCTCTGCTCTGCACTGGCCTGAGGGTATAGCTTAGAAAGAACTTGACTCTTTTGTTATGGTAATTGCACCTGTAAACAAGGTTCCAGCTGCAGGCCCTATACGCCTGCCATGCCTGCCTCCCGCAGCAAATTCTGGCCTTAGGCACCTGGCACCTGTCATCTTCTTCCACTGCTCCTGATGGGAGGGGGCCGTGCCCTTTTGCCCTCTTGCCCACTACTATATATACCCGACTTGAGTTTAATAAAGTTGCCATTTGCTCTTTGGTGAATGAGCAGGTCTCTTTGTGTCTGTGTGTTTAAACCCTTAGGACAATCGTCCATTCTCGTGGACTCAAGTCAGGAAAGTGCGCGCCTGTTTCGAGGTCTGGGTATTCACAGAAAAGTGCGAGGCCAACAATATATCACATAAAAAATTTAATCAAAATACTTTTTAAGGGCTGGAGAGACAGCTCAGTGGTTAGGAGCACTGACTGTTCTTCCAGAGGACCTGGGTTCAATTCCCAGCACCCACATGGTAACTCACAACTGTCTATAACACCAGTTCCAGAGGATCTGATAATTCACACCAATACACATAAAATAAAGTTAAATATATTATTAATAAATATATATACATACGAATATATATTAAAAAGTATAAAATGGCTGGGCAGTGGTGGCACGTACCTTTAGTCCCTCAGGAGGCAGAAACAGGAAGAGATCTGTGAGCTCGAGGCCAGCCTGGTTTACAGAGAGAGTTCCAGGACAGCCACGGAAGTTACACAGGTCTCAAACAATAATAAAGTAGAAGATGATCTAAGAAGACACCAGAGACCAACTGGTTTCCACAAGAATACACACAAATGGGCACATGCATTCACACTCATACAGAAACACACACCTAAATGAACATGTTTATAACACACATGTACACACTCCAATTACTATAACACACTGCCACTTCCTACCCCACATTTCTCCAAGAAGATTCTGGACTCTTGCTTTTGCTATTCCTAACTCATTCTGGAACCCTCCTATACAAGATCACCTCATGGTCATCCTGGACTACGTAGTGAGTTTAAGGGTAGCCTAGGCTAAATGCATGAGACGGTGTCTCAAAAACAAACAGAAAAAAGAAGAAAGAAAGGAAGAAAGGAAAGAAGAGAAATATGGATGAAGGAGATGAACAAATAGTTCATATCAAAGGAAATTCAAAGATATACCCTGGAAGACACAACTGCATTACTCTAAGAGAAGCAGTTAAATAGGCAAATCTTGGAAGCATCCCACGGTGGGGGAAGCAGGAATTAAAGCTGTTTGCTGGGAGGAAATTGTTCAACTTCCCTGAAAGCAATTTCACAATGTCTGTCAAAATTTAAAATGCACATCCCCCTTGACCCACACAACCCACTTCTAGGGAATATCCTACAGATGAACTCACACACGTGTGAAATTATGCTCAAGGATGCTCACTACGCAGTGTTTGGAGGAGTAATTGGAAACAGCGGGCCTGGGGAGCACGTCTGGGTAAACAGGGAGTGGTTGCATCATGTATAGTTTGCAGCTACTAGGATGGGCGAAAGCTGGGGGCCACATGCAGTGAGAGAAACACGGGAAGTCCTGAAACTGTAGGATGCTAACCTGTTTTGTTTTGCTTTGCTTTGCTTTGTTTGTTTTTAAGAAGACAGCAGGGCCTGGGAAGACAGATGGCTTGGTGGGTAAGTGTGCCTGTTGTGCAAGAACGAGGATCTGAGTTCTGGTCCTTCATCAGTTTCGTAAACAGCTGGGCTTTCTCTGCACACATTTGTGATCTCCTCTGGGAAGGCTGGTGAGGCTTGCTAGCCACCTGCCCAGCTAGAAAAGGTTGACTTCTAGATTCAGTGAAAGACCCTGTCTCGGGGGAGTCATCTTCCTGTGAGTGCAATAGCACACACACATGTGCATAAAAGACACACAACTGTACACACACATGTGCATACAAGACACGCAACTGTACACACACATGTGCATACAAGACAGGTACACGCATAAACAAATAATAAAAAATGACAGTCCAAAGCTTACAGTATTCTCCAGACCTCTCTCCATTTCCATCCCTACTGCCCTGTTCCAAAAAAATTTAACTGCATCTGGCTGTACAGCCTAGTGATCGGTACCTAGGGGTTAAGCAGGTAGGAGACAGAGGATGTATGTATTACCCTGGGCTCCTCCACTTGAGTTTTCTAAGCCAGGCGTCTGGTCACCTCTCTCTGTCTCTCTCTTCTCTCTATGTGGGTGCATGTTCAAAACATTGATTCCCCATTGCCCTTTGGATGGAGGTCAGAACTCTGTAAGGCATTAGAGGGTCAATTCCTGTCAGAAGTCCATCCTCTAGGCTCCATAATAGTGCTTGTCAGCCTTTCTAATGCCTCAGCCCCTTAATACAGTTCCTCGTGTGGTGACCCCCAACCACAAAACTATTTTGTTGCTGCTTCCTAACTCGTTTTGCCACTGCCATGAATTGTAACGTAAATATCTGATGTGCAGGATGTCTGACATGGGATCCCCCAAAGGGGTTGCAACCCACTGGTTGAGAACCATTTCTCTAGCGTCTTTAACCTCTCCCAGGTCCCTGGCCTCTGCATAGTTCTCTCCGTAACCCTCTGCCCACTCTAGGGTACAACCTCAAAGAACCTCCATCCTCCTCTGGCTTCGGTCCTCCTGCCCTTACAATGCCAGTCGGGAGTCTGGTGTCTGCCTCCCACCTGGGCTCTGCCAGGTAACAGAAAGCACGCACCCTCCTGACTCCAGTGCCCATGCAGTGCAAAGCTGGCTAAATGGGCAGGAGTTGTACGGGTCCCCGAGGCCCGGCAGGATTGTACCCTGCCGCAGAGGCCAACTCTGGCCCTTCCAGACTCGGGAAGAAAGTGACCCTGCTTGACTCACTTTGGGAGGCCAGTCCAAAAGAATCCAGGGGACCCAGGGACTGGCACCTGGCCCACCAGAGATCAAGGCTGAGGCAAGGTGGGAAGGCATATGTGTACAATGATTAAGATGCCATGTTTTTCAAAATGACTCTACTGCCAATGATGGTGAAACAATATACTAAATATGAGAAATAAATCTTGTTACCATGTAATGAGCTGCCTTATTAATGTGTTAAACTTGTAAGAAATACTTAAGTGTTTAATTGGCACCTAATGAGGGTGCCAATTAAGGATCATTATGCATTTCTTTAAAAATCATAATTGGCAGGGGGGCATTTCAATCAATGCCACAGGGCTGGCTCCATAGGGACCCCATCTTGGCAGTACATCTGGTGACTATAAGTGTGGGCCACCATCTGGTGGCTAACCCCAGAGGAGCTCATAGCAAGGTCAGGGCCACCAAGGCTGAGCCTAGCTCCCAAACCTCACCACACAGCCAGACTCATTTTCCCCACTACTGCCAAGTCCTGGTATTGACCAAAGCTAATCTGAATGGCACCTCTGCCATTTTTCCAGGCAGACAGTAGCCTTCAGAGGACTGGGGACCCATTGAGGAGCAGGCTCACAGTTCTTCATCGATCCAAGAGTGATTGGCTCTTCTGGGATCCTGAAAGAAGTTTCCAGGAGGCTGTAGGGAGGCTAGGCAGGAGGTGGGACAACCACTTCAGGAGTAACAAGTCCTCATAGCTGGATACAGGCTGAGAGAGTGCCGAACTATAGCTGGGAGCTCCCTCTGGGCCTCTGGAGGTGGGACTGGGTCTCTCTCCCTGAGAAATTGCAGCCAAACGTCCCCCCACCCCCTAGCTGCTTAAGAGCATCCAGAATAGACCTGGATAAACCTGGTCCCCTCCCCCTTCCCAGGAAAGTCGAGCCAAGCAGATCTATATTCCAGGCCAGGCTAGCTAAAAAGAGCATCCTGAAAAGCCAGAACATGATTAATTACTAAATTAATTGCCAAATTAATCACCCAGGTAATTTCCAGAGAACTGGGTGGAGGGCAGGGAAGAGGCCACTGCCCACCAGGGGAAGGCCTGGCCAGGGGCAGAATGAGGAGTGACCACAGCCCAAGCAGAGGGTGAGGGGGCAGCAGCGGTGACCGGATGGTCTGGGGTCAAATGGCTGGGGCACAATGAGAGGCAGTGCATGGAGGACCTTGGTGGCCAGACTGGGCTCTTCATGAACTGAAGTCTCTTGGGTGAAGATGGTACAAAGGGAGCATGGTGGGGGAGACTGGGAGGCTCAGTAGGTACATACACACATGCTCATAAAACTGGAGGGGAGAGAGTAACTGGCCTCTGGGGCTGGAGAGAGCGTGATATCTGACCTGGGCACTAGGGAGGGAGTGGGTATCTATCCTAAGACAGAAGCTGTAGCGAAATGTCCTTCTGGAAAAGTCATCTCAGGATTGAGCATGGAAGCAGCCCCTGCCATTTGTGTTTCCACAAATCTTAGGAACCTCACCTTTGCCGGTGTAAAATGTACCCCCATGGTCTTGTGACTCAAGGCTGCCGCTTGAAGCCTTGTCAGAGGGGTTCCCTGGCTCTAGAGCTCAGGCCCTGTCCCAGAGTTCCCAGGCCAGACCATTCCCAGGCCAGATCCAAGAAGTACAAGGTCAGTTGCATCTGAAGTAAGGGACTTCCTCGCTTGGCCTTGAGAAGCTTGGCGGGAGGTCTGCACGTTTTCTGTTGGTCAGGGGCCGCTTTCCTTTTTATGGTGCTGGCGATCAAAGTTAGGACTCTGTCCTTGGCAGGCGGGCTCTCTACCACTGACGGGTAGCTTCAGTCCCCTTCTCTCGTTTTGAGGCAGGGTCTTACTCTGTAGCGCAGGCTAGCCTTCCATAGTCTCCTAAGCGCTGGTGGTGGGAGGCCACTTTGCAACTTGAGCCACTTGGGAGAGTCAGAGCGGAAGGTGAGCCTGGAGTGTGACCTAGAACTAGGGGACCCTGCGGCCCAGTGGACTGCAGGACTTTCCAAAGACTGAGCATGAATGTGGCTCAGAGGCTTCACCCCTGCACAAGCCCATGAAAGCCCCAGCATCCCCTGGACCACCCTTTGGACACCCCTCCCAGTTTCAGCCCTATTCCCACTCATCACCCACTAAGCCACCGTTCAACCCAATATTCTGACCTGTACTGTCACCTGGTGGTCACAGAGGGAATACTCCCAGCAGTGCCGCTGCCTCCTCTGGCCAGGGGGACTTGATTTCATCTCACTCATTGTCCGGACTCGGAAAAATTATCACTGAGAGGGCAGGAGCCAGAGACAGAGGTGTGGTCTCAGAGCAGCATCCAATAGAGTCATTTCAGTCAGCACTAGTCCCAGGAAAGGCAATTTAGAAAGGGAAGCAGAATGGGTGTGTCGCGTGGTGCGGATCCCACACAGCCAAGTGCTCCATGTTTGCAGGGTTGCGGTGAGATCGCCATTGTTAGTGGCCTGCCTCTGATGAAGCGCATCCCCGTTGAAAGCATACCCCTATGGCTTTATATCAAACCTAACTCAACCCCCTGAGAGACCCAGCACAACACACTCTTGCCTAAGGGTCCTCCTCTCTATCTTCCTGTGACCTCACCTGTGCCTTCCCTCACTTCCTGGTTAGGGATGTCATTGCTCATGGCCTTGTTGCCCTGACTCTCAACAACTGGGCTTCTTCTAAGGCCAGCCCCATCTGTGCCCGTCAGCACTAGAGCCCCACAGAGGACCTGGTGTAGAAAAGTTGAGAGTGGCCAAAAAGAACAAATAACTAGCCAAGAAGCAGCATATGGTCCAGAGAATAGTCTTCCCTTCTTTGTGAATTTTGGCAGTGAGATCCAGGGCTATCTTGCCTGGGGCCAAGTTCAGGCTCTGCTATACACTAGGCTCCCCTATTGTCCTGTGGCTTTGTTTCCTGTAATCTGGACACACAAAGGATGCTCCAAGGTTGCCAGGAGATTGGAGAGCTCTGGTTCTGTCTGTGAGGACCCAGGAGCTTCACACACTTCAACCAGGCTTCAAAGTGTCATTTTATTGATTTATTGTTGAGCTGTTGGTAAATCTCTTAAATCTCTGATAATCTTGTGTTCTTGACTTCCTTCGGTGAATGAGTCTTTTGCTGAATGCCAGGCAGGGAAGGTTAGGCCCATTTTGTGGCTCTCTGGGTCCTGCAGTCTAATGGCAGGAGAGCAGGGTGGGCCCTGTGGATCTTGACCAACAGAAGTCTGGGTAGCAGCATGGGTGTCAGGGTGAAGTGAGAGAGGCAGTCAGGGTACAGAGGTAAGGAGTGAGTGTTCTCTTTGGCGAGAGTGCATGACCAGGGTTTCTGGATAGAGGAGGGAAGGGGAAATGGGGAGAGGAGGGGACAAGAGAAGAAGAGGGGAGAAGATGGGAGGAGACAGGAGAGGGGTCCACGAATGGGGTCAGAGGACAGCTCTTAGACTATCCATTAGTACTTAGCTGAGGCTGTCACTGCATAGAGTTGCCAGCAGGTGGCATCATAGTTGCTTTGAGAGGCTGCAAGGCCGATTGGAATGGAGTGTGGCAGGCGACCAGTCAGGCTCCAAAAACACCCCCCCCCCCCCCCCAGACCTCATCTGAAGCTCTGGTCTGGAAGTGTGTAGACGGCCCTGGCCCAGTTGGAAGCCTGATGCCCTCAGTCAGTGAGTCTAAACCTCCTGTGCTATCCAGGTGGCCCTCTGCCTGCTGGAGGGGCCAATCACGCACGCAGATCGCACGACCACGGGTGTCTGCGATCACCCTCACTTCGCTGTGCCTGGATCAAGTAGCCTGGAGGCAGACTTAGCACCTGAAGCCACCGCCAATACCTGCTCCATGCACTTGAGTTGAGGGATGTGGTGGGTATTCGTGGGCTTCCCCACTGTAGTGAAAGTAGGTGAGGGGCCTCCTCTGAGCCAACTTTTCCAGGTGTAAGCTCTGCCTCTCCATTCAGACTGTTGCTCAGTACCTTTTCATTCTCCTCTGGACAAAGGGGAGCGGGCTATCTCTTTGATGGGGTCTCCATAAGCAAGTCAGTCTGTAGAAAGTATTCTGGGGGGGCTGAGAAATCAGCAGCCTTCCTGGGTACCAGCTCTGCAAAGAGCCAGGCATGTTCTCCAGCTATCCCCCTGGCGTCTGGCTTCCTGGCCATAGGATCCTGAACTAGTCCCCGTGGCTCCCTGAACACACCTGTGCTTTCTCTGATAAAGGCCCTGGAGGGGGTTGGGCGGAAGTACCTGACTTGCCGCAGATACTATGTAGCCCGCCCGCAGGAGGCTGTTACTTTCAGGTTCTATGTCTGGCAGTTTCTTCTTCTGCCTCCTTTCCCTCCTCATTTTTGTCCTCTTCCTATGATGTAGCCCGGCTGGGTCTCAAACTCACAATCCTACTGTCTTGACCGCTATCTAAAAGTCTGGGACTGCCAATAGACGCCACCATGTTCAGCTTTGCTTTGTCCTGTTTTAGGCAAAATAGAGAACCCACTGGCTGGATCAAAGGGCAGGTGAATGGAAGAGAAAGGGTGACTGCCCTGAGGGGTCAGGAAGAGCCCCCAGGTGGGGGGTGGGGGAGGTGCCACCTCCAGGGGGAGGTGCCTATGAGGGCGAGCTGCGCCAGGATTGGGTGTTCTTACCTCCTCTGACAGTGGTTCCAATTCACAAGGCAGCTCCCTGTGAGTTGTCACATCCAGCAGGAACTGTGTCTGTGGGAGGAGGGTGTTCCAGGTCCCATTCCTGCCAGTGCCGGCAGCTGGACTCCAGCCTTCACGCAACCTCCAGCCTCTGGCTAAGCAATGCAGGCAGCTGGACTCCAGGCCTTCACCCAACCTCCAGCTTTGGGCTAAGCATGTCTTCTGCCATCTGACCAGATGGGTGCCTGGGTGCCAGGCAGGCAGGTTTCCTTCTACGCCTACCTGCCATCTGTCCTGTTCTAGGCTCATAGGTACCAGGCCTCTAAGATGACTTTACCCAAGTCCTCCCCCTAGCACTCCTCATGAGGGATAAACCCTCTTCCCCTGCTTTAGACCCAAAGGGCTCCAAGACCTGGGAACAAGCTTTAGTTTATTTGATTAGAGAAGCTCATCCCCAGGCTATGGATGAGGGACCTATTGTACTGGGATTCCAACTGACTCAGAGCGAGGAAGCCTGTGTGATCAATACAAGGAAATCCGCCTAGAATGTGGAATCTCCTGGACGCACGGTGTTTGCTGGGGGAGAGAGCGCTAACTTCCACAGGATTTCTTGGGAAAGTCATAGGCGAGTCATAGCCACAGCCACAGCCACAGCCATGTCCTGGACAGCTGAAGGAGAAAGTGGTTGGGCATGGCCCTGTGCCTCCTCCAGGAAGCCTTCCCTGACTAAAACTTTGGGGCCTGGGAGCAGCTCTGGTCAGTACCTTTTCTCTAACTCAGCAAAGCTGGTCCTGGAAGTCAGAAAGCACCTCACATGTTGTTAGCCACATTCAAAATGCTTGCTTAGTCCTGTGTACTTTGTGAGGTCTGAGGGGCCCGGGGAAGAAAGGAAGCCACATGTCAATGACTCCTGTGTCAGAGTCCTAGAGCCCCCACCCATCCATGGCGCTATAACACGTGAGCTGCAGAGGTGTTTGTAGGGGCATCCAGCTGGACTGAGGGAAACAGGGAGGAGCGTGAGTTCTCTCGCCAAGTGGAATCCAGCCCAAACTGTGGCTTCTGCCAAAACTTCCGTCCCTGGGGACTGGCCTGGATTCCATCTGGGACAGGGGCGAGTGGGGTGGTGAGAGAGATGGCTGGGGTGAGGTGAGGTCAGACCTGGACTTCCAGAGGGATCTTCAGGCCTGCCAGTCACCTGATGGAGCAGGGTACCAATGGGCCTAGTGACCAGGCGAAACGGAAGAGGCAGTGGGTACTTGGCCCAGGCATCCTCCTGTCTTGCTCTGGACCAGGCTAAGCCTCTGATGGGGAGGTCTAGACTGGAGATCATGTGGCAATGTGTCCGGGAGCCTAAGGAAACCATCTCCCAGAAACAGAGGGCCTGGTCCCTGCTCTCCTCAGGGGGTATTCCAGGAGGCAAGAGAGAGTCTGTTCTCCCCAAGCTCGCAGACCACCACCCGACAGGCAGATTCTCAGCCTCTTCCTAACCCGCCACACTCAAGAACTGGCTTATTTATGTTTCTGACCACTTTGGGCAATGTTTGCTGCTGTCGCCTTCTAGGCCACTGTGAGGGTCCATGTCACCCCTGTGTCGGCTACCAGCAACTATTACTCAGAAGGCTCTGTTGTGCAGTGGAGCCCAGACTCCAGAGGCCAGTGAGAAATTTAATGGGGCTCTTGTACTCACTTTGACTTCAGCTGTGTCCCGGCCCTCCTCCTGCCCTTCTAGCTACCTACACATTCTAGAACCCTCACACTATACGGGACACTTGAAAGGAGGCCCTCCTGTGATCGATTCTGTTTCCAAGCTGCCTGGGGCTTTCCTCTAACTGAGGACCGTGCTGTGCTGGCTAGTTTTATGTCAACTCGACACAAGCTAAAGTCAGTTTGAAGAAAGAGCCTCAACTGAGAAAATCCCTCCCCATCACACACATACACACACACACACACACACACACATACACACACACCCTAACTGGCCTGTGGACAAGCCTGTGGTGCATTTTCTTGATTAACGATTGATGTGGGAGGACCCAGTTCACCGTGGGTGGTGCCACTCCTGGACAGGTGGCCTAGGGGTGTATAAGACAGCAAGTTGAGCAAGCCATGAGGAGCAGTCAGTGGGAAGCACCCCTCCCCCATGGCCTCTGTACCAGCCCCTGCCTCCAGGCTTCTGCCCTGACTTTCCTCAATGGTGGATGACAGCGTGAAACTGTAAACCGATATCCTCACCAACTTGTTTATGGTCATGGTGTTTTATCAGAGCAATAGAAATCCTAAGGTGCTAGCCCAGGCTGTGACCCTGGTCAGAGATAGGACCCCTGGCCTTGGAGAAAGGCTACCTCTCTCAGTCCCCTCCCACCCGGCCTGCAGGTTCCAGCACTTACTTCTACACTAGGTACAGAAACCCTGACTCTGAGGGACCTTGCAGTGTCCCAGCCTTCTTCCTGTCCACCATACAGGGATCTCAGGCCTGTCAATCATCGATCTGACCAAGTTCCAAGGGCGTCACCTTCACAGATGAACTGTGAGAAGTGGAAAGTGTCCCGCAAACTGGAATTCTCAGAGAAGTGGACTTTCTAACACACACCCCTGTCCCAGGGCAGGGGCGAGGGAAGGAAACCGCCTTCACATCTCAGCACTCGGTCCCTCTACCTCCTTGGCAGTCCCTCTCCTGAATGAAGGCTCTATCACTGAGCTTTTCTCTGGGATTCTTGAAAAAAAAATAATAAAATATTTATTTGTAGTTTGTAAAATTATCTGAATGCATAGGTTTGTGTACCTGAGTGCAGATGCCCATGGAGGCCCGAAGTGGGGCCCTTTGGAGCTGGAGTCACGGGGGTGTGATCCATCTGATATGGATGCTGGGAGCTGGAGTCACAGGGGGTGTGATTCATCTGACACGGATGTTGGGAGCTGGGGGTCACAGGGGCTGTGATCCATCTGACATGGATGCTGGGAGTTGGAGTCACAGGGGGTGTGATCCATCTGATAAGAATGTTGGGAGCAGAACTGAGGTCTTCTGCCACAGCAGTACATGCTGCAACCACTGAACAGTCTCTCCAGTCCTTCTCTGAGATTCTCATCCTTACTCTGCATGCTTGCTTGCTTCAGCTAGATTTCTTGAGGCCTTAGGGTGGGGGTGATCAGAATGTCCCTAAGGAGTCCTGTCCCCTACCCTGACCTGCCTCTGAAGGACCCATTCTGAGAAGTAAGAGCCAGTGACCACTGCCACCTAACTCTGAAGGTGAAGTGAGATGGCAAGCAAAGGCAAACCTCGTCCCAGGCGGGATGGCACGTGTCCTAATCCTACTTGGTGACACCTAAGGGCCCCATCCTCTTCCTCTCCCTGTACCCTCACAGATTTCGTGTTCGTTTCTCAGTATGGCCTTTCAAGGGGGTTCTCTGAGAAGCCACAGCTGTCCCACCTGCAGTTGTTCCCATGTCCTGAGCCCTTGGAGGCCAGGAGGCCCTGGGATTTCCCTCAGACATTCTTAGACAAGCCCCACCCTGACACACACACTGAGGCCTACCAAAGAGGTACAGCTTCACAGGACAGCGTAAGGATGTCTGAGCTTGGAACGCTCCAGGCATTCCCTGACCTAACCTTCTGCCTTTCTTTATGTTTGTTTAGCTGTAAATATAAAGATATGGACACACAGGACACTTAAAATAACACTGCTCATTTTTTTTTCTACTTGGCATCCTTCTCTTCCGTGTAGAACAAAGTACAGTGTGGGTTGGCTCACTGATGGGCAACTGGGCTGGAGGGAAATGTTTCTAAGAGTCTCCAGGAAGGTCAGAGCACCACCGTCTTTTTTTTCTTTTAGAAAAATTTGTCTTTGTGTGTGTGTATGCACATATGCATTGTGTGATAGCCACAGATGTGT